ATAAATACAGTTTTAATATCTTCAAGAAAATCACTTAACAGTCAATAAATTAAATTGTAATTAATTAATGTAACATTAATCTAAAAACCGGAATATTCTGTAATATACCATTAAAATAAAATAACTAGTTTCACATTTGTAAAATTTAAATCGAATGTTTATATTATTATTTTTCACCAAATGCTAACTGAGCATACTTTTGTTATTAGAACCATTCTGTATTTTATACAATGTTATATGAAAATAACATATTTCTGCTAACAATAAGTTCCAAGAGGCAACTGGTTAAACACATTAATTTAGGAACTATGTCGCACTTGATGTACATCTACTTATTTCTAATTTTGGTGGGCACATATTTCTGAAAATGTTTCTACAAAAAACTTCAATTCTGATTAATACTTTCGACTATAAATATACCAAGAAGAATAGGCCAATGTTAATGATTCTGTTGTATTGTAACGAGCACGGGTGTGTTTGTGTGCGATCGGGCACACGTGTGCGTGAACGGCTTATCGATTCGCCGACTAGTCGCGGGCGCCTTTCTTTATGTGCGCCGTATTTGTAAATGCGTGTGTCGTACCTGCGTTCTGAGAAAGCAGTTAAACAGTTCACAGAAAAAATAAACCATCCGGATGTTTCCAGACGGTTAAAGAAAGTAAACAAAAGAGTATTTATAGGAAGAGACGGTCGCCGAGTGAAGAAATAAATTGACCGTTGCAGAAGTGAATGGAGAAATAAATTGAAAGTGATAGCAGTGAAATAAATAGCGCAGTGAATAGTGATATATCAACAGTAGTGTAAATAAATAAAATAATTCATAACCTAAGTTTAGTAATAATTTAATACTGTTTTTAAGTTATTTAATAGTTAGTGTAAATAAATAGCTTTTGTCGTTATCAGTCTGAGAAGTTAATTTTGTTAAACCTACAAACATTACAGTATCTATAACGCTTTCTGATGCGTCTACAATACAGACCTTTGGGTAAAAAATTTACCATTTAACCAAGCAAAATAATTGTACTTTATTTGCTTATGCATATTTAAATTAAAAATATAACAAAATGAACACTATGAACACTAATTACATAAGTATATCCGCATAATTTAAGGAATAATCATACGTATTTTTCAGGAAAATCCTTATTCATGGTTTATGTCGATTATGCCAGTAAATTCCAGTTATGCAATTACTTCTAATTACTCCCGCTATTATAATTAATCGTATTTGTTTAATTAGAATACCGAAGTAATTTTACATTTGTTTAAAAAATAATAATACATATATTACAACTCACACAATTATTAAAATGATAATCAACAATTAATTATCGTTGCTAGCAGTTCTCAAGTTAATAAAACTAGTTTGTACACATGAAACAATAATGCTTTACGCGATATTTGGATATTTTTTAATTGTTTTTGTAATAAAATCTATACTTTTAGCACTGTAAGGACTTATTGTCAGAGGCAATTGCTTCTGTCCTTTCTTTAGACATTGGCAAACAATAGACCACGTAAAATAAAACCTTATAACTTCTCTTTTCACTGCTAATCAAAACTTTTCCTTATATTAAGTATGTCATTGTTGTTCTAATACATCATTTCGTTTTCTTATGATATTTCGTAATTGTCCCCTTGACTTCTGAATTTCTTTCCGCAGTGGATTAATTTGTTGTTATCCCTAATTACTTTAGAGGTTTTTTTATTACTTATGAATATTTTGTGGTTCTTTCTGATTTTATTATGTATGTCTTTAGATTTCAGATTATTAACCTGCATGCTTACACAATCAGCATGCATGGGCGCTTGCTTTGCTACAATTATATAAATAGTTCCTACTAAAGGATATGAAAACTACCAAATTATCGGCTAGCTAAAAATGAACAACCTTCAGTGATATGGTCAATTGTTTCGTGATATGTGTTATATGCTCGGTATGTGTCCTATGAAATTGTCGAATTTTGAATAATATATTTTTTCATAATTCTTAGCTTTTATTATTTTGTCCTGAATCGCTATCATGAAGCCCTCAGTTTGTGAGAGTATATTTCCTTTCTTTAACCACATATTAGAAGCTTTTTTATCTATCTACGTATATGTTCCTGCTGTTGTTGCTTCGGGTATTTTCTATAAAGCGCTTTTGGTTTCCACATTTCACCTTTGAATTTTTCGTTCATAATTTTGTCTTCTAGATTAAAATATGCATCATTAAGGTATAGTGATGTACCAAAGGTTTAAATAGCGCAGATTGACGTGGATGGTGGGGCGGCGGAAAAGAAAAGGTTAGAAGCGTTTGAAATGTGGTGTTATTACGAGCGAATGATGGGGATACCGTGGATGTATGAGAAGGTATCAGAAAGAGTAGAACAAACAGCACTACGGAAGTTAATAAGCAATGGGCGCGATAGGTTAGTAGGACATCTTCTCAAGAATGAATGACTAATTAGAGAGATATCGGAAGCAGAAACAAAAAATTAACAGGAATACAGGTAGACCCAGATTATATTACTTTCATAAATAGTTAAGGATACGGGATGTTCTAGGTTTAGTAAATCTTTCGAAAAGAAAAAGTTAGGAACCATTTAGATGTGATGTTTAGAATAATATGAATGGTATTGTGCGGAAAAGGTTTCAAATGAGAAGATATTAAAATGAGTAGCAGAACGTTATGTTACTTAATAAGAAATAGGAAGGATAACTTGGTAGTAGAACACATTCTTAAACGTAAAGGACTAATTAGTGACATATTATAGGGTTGTTCGGAAAGTCATTTCGTTTTTTCCCGACAGAGGATTTAATTGTATTCTTTTGCAACCAACTTTTTATATGCTTTGAGAGCTCATATAGCAAGGCTTGTGTGTGAAAAATTCCAATTAATTCTACGCAGTAGTTTTTGGTTGGTGCCCTTTTAAATATGGAGAGCGATAAGCAGCATTTTCGACATATCTTACTGTTTTACTACAGAAAGGGTAAAAATGCTGTTCAAGCCAGAAAGAAATTGACTGATGTGTATGGAGAAGGTGTGTTGACAGTACGCCAGTGCCAGAACTGGTTCGCTAAATTTCGATCCGGCAATTTTGATGTCGAAGATGCACCACGTTCGGGAAGGCCGGTTGAAGCTGATAAAGACGCGATAAAGGCATTAGTTGATGTGAACCGGCGAATAACAACACGTGAGATCGGATTGAGGTTAAATTTATCAAATTCAACAGTTTATGACCACTTGAAAGGCCTGGGATTATCCTCGAAGCTCGATGTATGGGTTCCCCATGTTCTCACAGAGAGAAATCTGTGTCGCCGCATTGACGTCTGCGATTCGCTTCTCAAACGTCACGAAAATGATCCGTTTTTGAAGCGCATCATCACTGGGGACGAAAAATGGGTTGTATACAACAACGTCAAACGCAAGAGGTCATGGAGCAAAAAAGATGAACCGGCTCAAACCATTTCCAAAGCCGATATTCACCAAAAAAAGGTGATGCTGTCTGTTTGGTGGGATTTTAAAGGAATCGTTTTTTTTGAGCTTTTACCGGATAACACAACGATTAATTCGGAAGTCTACTGTCATCAGCTGGACAAACTGAATGATGCACTTCAACAGAAAAGGTCAGAACTAATCAACAGGAAAGGTGTAGTGTTTCACCAAGACAACGCGAGACCTCACACAAGTTTGGTCACTCGCCAAAAGCTTTTACAGCTTGAATGGGATACAATGCTACACCCACCATATTCTCCAGACCTGGCACCATCGGATTATTATTTGTTCCGGTCACTCCAAAATTTTTTAGACGGTAAAACCTTCACCTCAAATGAGGAGGTCAAAAACCTCCTCGATCAGTTTTTTGCCAGCAAAGACCAAAAATTTTATGAGCGTGGAATTATGCTACTACCAGAAAGATGGCAAAAGGTGTTGGACCAGAACGGTCAATATATAATTTAATAAAGTATTTGTTTATTATACGAAAACTGTCTTTCATTTCCACAAAAAAAAACGAAATGACTTTCCGAACAACCCTATAGAAACAGAAACAGGAGTTAAAAAGGTAGTCAATTGTTAATAGAGATGTAGATTGCTCTAGCTTTCGAGATTTGGAAAAATTTGCAAAGTTAGGAAGAAGTGGTGTCAAAGGTGCAGCTGGGTAATGGGGCTTGAACAGATGAAGGGGGGATTTAAAGGAAACAGAGCATATGCGGAACGAGCGGGGCGAAGCCCTGACTGACGATCACAGCTGTCAGAGATGGCTAGCGATGACAGCTGTCAAATATGGCTGACAATGACAGCTGTCAAAGATGGTCGGCGATGACAGATGTCAAAAATGGCTGACGGCCGTGACGTCAGAGTAGGAATGGAGGGGGTAAAAGTACACAGAAAGGGTGAATATGAATCTTTAAAAGAAAATACATAGAATTTTGAGGCCGAACTGTCATCTACTGTTAGGGATGGGGACCTTATGATGATCATGATTAAGTTTTACACCTTGTTTGAGATTCCGAAAAAAAAATTTGCCGTACTATTTTAAGTTTGTTATGACAAGCTTTACTAAATAATTTATTAGATAGCGCAATAGCAAGGACTTCAGAAAAGGGCGTAATAGATGGTCACCGGTCATACCCAATTAAAACGTATCCAGCAGTTTCCATAATTAGCATACGTAATCATTACTGCTGATAATGAGCTTGAACTTTTTCTTTAAACATTTTATTTTGTTTATATACAAACCTACTTATTCTACTAAAGTAACTACTAATTATACAATAAATCATTTAAAGTGGAGCTGTGTTTAAGTAAAAATTTTAATTTCCTTTTTAGTCATACCTAATTAAAGGCGGTTTGAAATTTACATATTTGTTTTTTAGAATTTAAATGACCTGCATAAGCTTCTTTCCGTATAATAGATTATGTTAGTACTTCATCAGTAACTAAGTCGCTAACCTTGAAGAAAATTCTGTCATTGGTTAAGAGTTGTACCAAAGTTTTAACTTACGTTTCTACTTACCGTATTTTCAGTAAATAACGTTTTCGGCCAAAGATTCGAATCAAAACTATCACAAATTTAACAGATTGGTCACTTTTATGAATATAAGTTCCTTTTTTACGTTAGTAAAACATCGCATTTGCTTTAAAACTGACCCGCACAAGTGTGAAGAGTTACTTGTTCTACATTAACCTTGCATTGTTCCAGATCTTAAAACTGGCGTATTACCGACTACTTTCACGCAGCGGAATAACACTAACGCACATATCCATATAAACGATATGAACTTTTATTCTGTGCATAGGTTAGATATGTAGTCTATTAATGCTAGTTGAATCTAAAATCCTCAACAATAATTTTATATAGATAGATGTACGAGGTCTGTTCAAAAAGCATAGCGAATTTTGCATTTCCGCGGGTTACGTATATTCGATTTTCGATTTCTTTGTAGCATGTTGGTACTCATGTCTCTTATATCGACAAGTTCGGCCATGTTGAATGTTAACTTAATTTTTAAAAGCTGCATTGCTTGCATGTGTTTTGACTCGTCTTTGATTTTTGCCTATTCCGGAAAATGGATCAAAGAATCTATATCAAATTTTGTGTGAAAAACAAAATTAAGTGCACGGCACATTCCGAATGTTGACTGTTGCATATGGTGAAGCTACCTTGGACCGAAGCAACGTTTAATGATGGTACAAAATGTTCTCAGAGGGGAGAGAAAATGTAAACGACGAAGAGCTTGCCGGACGCCCTAGCAAGTCGACAACAGACAAAAACATTGATGAAGTGAACAAAATAGTATTGGCCAATCGTCGAATCACAGTTAGAGAAGTTGCTGAGGACCAAAATGCATCAATTGGCTCCTGCCATTCGATTTTTACAAATGATTTGGGTTTGAGATGTGTCGCCGCGAAATTCATACCAGAATTCCTCAATTTCGACTCTGTCCGCGACGATCCAAATTTGCTTCAGAGGATCATAACTAGTGACGAATCATGGGCTTACGGTTATGACGTAGAAACCAAATCTCTATCATCCGAATGAAGCTGCCGCACCGAAAAAGTTAGGTCGGATGTGAAAGTTTTGCTTTAAGTTTCCTTCGATTGCAGGGACGTGGTGCATCGTGAGTTCTTGCCACAGGGTAGAACGGTCAATAAGGAACAAAATAATTTGAAGTGGTCTGTATTGTGTCGAAACTGCCAGACGCGGATCGCAATTTCGATCTTTTTGGATCTCCTTAGCGCGTCGCAGGCAGCTCCGACAAAACACAGACCTACTTTTACCTGCTGTCTTAACAGCGCGTTTTAGAAAATACGACAAATGGCGCTGTAAACGCCATCTGTAGTACAGTTCTACATTTTAGGATTACGTATGCTTCAGCAAGGTCAATTTAAATATATGGATATCTACTTGCTGAAACGAATCCAGGCGTAGCTCACCTCAACGTGGTAGGCACGTTATCATAATCGAATAAAATAAAATACAGCGCCATTTGTCGTATTTTCTAAAATGCGTTGTTAAGACAGCACGTAAAAGATGGTCTGTGTTCTGTCGGAGCTGCCTGCAACGCGCTGATGAGATCCAAAAAGATCGAAATCGCGATCCGCGTCTGGCAGTTTCGACAGAATACAGACCACTTCGAGTTATTTTATTCGATTATGGTAATGTGCCTACCACGTTGACGTGAGCTATGCCGGGATTCGTTTCAGAAAGTAGATATCCATATATTTAAATAGACCTTGCTGAAGCATACGTAATCCTAAAATGTAGCACTGTACTACAGATGGCGTTTACAGCGCCATTTGCGCGAAACCATCTGCCAGGATTTGTGGAAGAACAAAAACGCCTTGCACCATGATAACGCCCCTTCTCACGCATCGTTGCTTGTGGGAGAGATTTTGTTCAAAAACAACACACTAATAATGCTGCAGTCACCGTATTCCCCAGATTTGCCCCCCCCCCCGCCTTGTGACTTGTTCCGCAATGAAAAGCCTCACGAATGGACGACGTTACGCTCCGATTGAGGAGATAAACACGGCTTCGGAGGAGGAGCTATACAAGATCACAAAAAATTATTTTTGAAGTGCTTCGGCGATTGGAAAAAGCATTGGCATAAGTGTATAATATTTGGTGGAGATTACTTTGAAGGGGATAAAATAGATATTTATGAATAAATAATTAAATTTTTGAGAAAAAACAAAAATCTCGATACTTTTTGAGTAGACCTGGTACGTATATTAAATATGTTTATGATACAAGCACAAAGCTGTTTGATTGCCATGATTGTTGCTGTAATCCGCAGCGGTTTCTCTTTCGTTATTACATTAGACACTTAATTATACACTTACTTTTTACCTATGTTTAGAATCATTATTTTAATTGAAAAATAATAGCAGATTATGTTCTAGAATTTAGTATTGGATCAAATTAACACACGTATTCAGAGTAACGGCGCGTGGACATTGATAAGTGTTCTATTCGATTCTGGAAAACTAATGTTAAGCTCAATTCATTATACGTTATGCCACAGCAAAATTTAAGCTGTCCTAAGATCTTTGGAGTTATCCATAAATTATGCATACTGTTTTATTTATTTTGCGCTGCCGCGCCACTTCTTTCTCCTATGAGGGAGCACACGAATTTTTGGAAGGATTGTAAGTGCAAATAATTTACCTCAGTGATGAATAACACGAATAACTGCACTTAGTAATATTTATTTACATATATACAGTTAATACATATATTGAAGACCCTGAACTTGATGATTACACTGATGCTACTAATTGTTGTCTGTTGTTGTCTTAATTGTTCTTATTTGATGTCTCTATTTTGATGTCTCATTATGAGTGTGTCAGCCTATTTATAACATAATCTCCACCCTGATAGAGGAAGGGGTGAAAGTGCTAACCAACTGGTTTCTAATATTATTTAAGTACCTTGAAGATAAGGTATCTTAAAGATATTGTTACCTGCAAAGTTCGATACCCTAAAATTACACCTAAACCACTTACATATAATATTTGTAAAAACCAACAAAATTGAATATTTGAATTTCCAACTTAATGTTTCAAGAAAACGGCAGGTAAATGTACCCTGGTCTGAACACATACTACACTATTCGCTGCTTCCGAATTTGATTTCCCTCATTTATGCGTTTGCTTTAACGTATATTAGTCGGAGGTTTTTATCATCATCATAAGGTGGACAGTCCTAAGACTGGTTAGAGGGGCTCCTCCACTCTTTATTATCCTGAGTTAATCGACTCATTTCTTCTAAACTAGAACATCCTTAACTATTTGCGAACAGTAATCTAATTTAGATCGCCCTCTACTCCTCTTAACCCCTGTTCATGCCTAAGAAGGTGTTCTATCAACCTATCTCGCCTATTTCTTATCACTTTGCATAGAATTTTCTATTCTATTCTTTCCATCTCTTCATTTCTAACCTTTTCTATCCACGGTATCCTCATCATTCACTTGTAACACCACATTTCGAACACTTCTAACCTTTTCTTTTTTGTGGTGCCCACGGCCCATGTTTCACACAAATACAGCACTGCGCTACAAACATACACCTTTGACAATCTTTTTCGAATTTCTAAATTAAGTGTTCACGAGCATAGAGGCGCGATACTTTACGGGTGCAAAACATGGACGGTGGGCGCGGCGGAAAAGAAAAGGTTAGCAGCGTTCAAAATGTGGTGTTACAGGCGAATGATGAGGATACCGTGGATAGTTAAGGTTAAAAATGAAGAGGTATTAGAAAGAATAGGAGAACAGAGGATTCTATGGAAGTCAATAAGAAATAGGTGAGTTAGATTGGTAGGACACCTTCTCAGGCAGGTCTAGTCAGAGACATATTGGAGGCAGAAACAGGAGTCAAGAGGAGTAGAAGTAGATCTAGATTGAATTACCGTTCGCAAATAGTTAAGGATGTGGGATGTCCTAGTTTCAGGGAAATGCGAAGATTAGCTCAGGATAGGATTGAATGTAGGTACATGTCCAACCAGTTTTAGGACTAACGATCTTATGATGATGATGATGATTTAAGTTTGGAGAGAGAACATACGGTCCGAGCAGTTGTTCGCTATTTTTAAGTGCACTAAAATGTTTTACTACGTTTTTGCCAAAGACGATTGAAATTATCTAGTTAAAGCAAGTTAACAATTTTACATAAGCTTATATCATGTTTTATAATGAAATTTATTAAGACGTTTCGTCAAAGAAAGGTACGATCCAATTTCATCCTTAGGTGATCTTCCCTGTAAAAAAATGTAATTCTTGACCAAAGTTATACCTCTGTGTCAATTTTGGTTACGGTTTATAAAAATTTTGAGGAATCATTACCGAAAACCGAAAAAAATATGTCACCTTTGATACCCTATATCTTTTTCCATAGCAACATTTTATAATAACCTGTATATAAAATAACTAAAGGATAACGTATGCTAAGGCTGCGTATAGAATATAGATAGATTGTATGAACTCATGTAAGCATAGTTGATTATACAGTTTGCATATATTCAAAGAACTAAGAACCAATTTAAACCAATTAAGACAAAAAAATATTATTAGAAAATTTTTGTGTTCTTCAGCTCGTATGGACAAATCACTGTTTCCCCCACCAATAAAGCACGAGTTGTGAAAGAACTGCCTGTCACCTTTGTAAAGGTCTACTTTAGTTTTTAGTATAGTTCAAAAGTGAATTGTTAACAATTTTATTCATATTGAACTAATATCTTTATAATCAAAAATAAATCTTCTTTATTCACAAAATAAATTACTTTTTTAGTTAGTAACAGTTCTATAAAATAGATTTTCTTTTTAGGGTTCTATAGATGCCCAAAGACAACGGGATCCCATTAGGTACCATTTCTATAGGTTCGTTCATCACAAGGCTCAGTTAAGGTAAGAAATACTCACTTAAACATTCTAACAGATTATTTATTAATGTTAGTTTGGTATTGGCATATAAAGAATAATCGAATTTTTTAATACCATGTAGACTATTCAAGTCTATGGATACTTTAAAAATTTCCATTTTTGTTCTGCATATATTTCAAAAACGGGTAAACGTGAAGCCTGATTTTGTTTAAATCTATGCTCTTAAATTTAAAAACAACTCAATCTGGAAATTTCTATCGTATGACAAACAAATTTTGGTGGAAAACCATTAAGGCGTACCTGGCGTTTTAGTCTTCATCTTGTTCGTCAGGTTTTGGTTTT